GAGGAAGAGAGGGAGAGAGGGAGGGCGGGTGGGCGGGCAGGTGACATACAAGGAGGATGTACTCGCTAAAGGGACGAGACCATGCATCTTAGGCAGGGCACACGAGTTCATCAACTCACTAAAAACAGCACTCATAAGCTTAAGAAGCGTTTCTGGCCTTCAGCTGAACTTGCATATCTAAAGCTGTGGACAGCAAAGCTGTGCTTTTGTGAGGCCATGAAAGGTCAATCACATTTAGAACTCTTGATAAGCTCACTGGAGCTTAGACCAGGGCCTTCTTGCTGTCTTTATTACACTCTAGACTTTTGTTACCCGACATCCATGTTCACATCCCGAAGGAACGCACGTATGTGGAACAACCACACATCACCTCTTTCATTCCCACATCGTAAGTTGGTCTCACTCCATTCTCTGGTGCTGGGGCATCCATATAATGATGTGCTTCCTGGCCCGACCTCCATTGATGAGAACTTGAGGTTCGTAATTGGATGTGTTTCCCTCTGTAAGCCAAGAGCTAACAAATGACAAACTCATGTTATTCTGGTGACCCAGCCTTGGTTTAAAGATGTTTTGTGGAAAGGTTGCCATTACACAAAAGGCATTACATGTTATTATGTATCCAACTTCAAACATGTGTTCTGGGATCGGCCTTCTAATCTGCACATTAACAATGAGATAGAGCTAGGCTAAGCTTCCCAGTGATTCCACCAAAGGTAATGTCACCAGACACCACCGGCACACAGGGCAAGGACTCTAATTACCTTCAGGCTCCTTTAAATTAAATCATCCTCATCCATGCGACCACTGGAGTAGATTTATATACTTTAAAGATCAAAGTGAGCCTGCATGGTGGAGAGCATCAGTTACCCTAGCATTCAAGACACTGAGGCAGGAGGATGGAAAATTGAACCCTATCCCAGAAAACTCAGCATCAGATTAAATTAGAACGGCTCTCAAAGCCTGCAACCACCCTTTCACAGGATGGTGCTCACCAACTGACCGCTGTGCTCACCAACTGACCGCTGTTCTCCCCAGGGCAGACCTAGCACTGAGGAGCACATTCAGCAGCTACTAGTAACTACATTATAGGCTTCTTGAATTATTGCTTTAGAAGGGAGAAAAAATAATGTCAACTAAGGAAACCGTAAAAGATTTACAAATCTAAACATCTGAAGACCCACACCTCTGCAGGGGTTTTCTATAAGCGCTGGATGTCTCCACCCTCACCCAGAAGAGCCACTGAGTAGCCAGTCCTTTAATGATGGGCAGAAGCAGGCACTCTGATTTTCTCTCTGGGAAGGGAATGGGCGGGGCTGGCGTGTGCTCACCTGATCTCCCTCAAACTGTTTTGGAAGCTGCCAGTAAAATGGCTCCCCATGGACATGCTGGTGGACAGCCTCTGCATCCAGCAAGGTGTCAGGGTCCTGGAAATGCATGCCTTCAACTGTGCCCTTGAGGTTGCTCTGGGAAACCACATGCAGGAGGAGCTGATCGGGGGCAAGCATTATCTAGGCATGGAAAGAAGAAAGACGCACTTCAGGTTAAGTACCCAGGACTCAGTGGGTAACAGGACTGGTGGTGTAAGGATGAGGACCCATGATGTACCAGCACTCATTCAAAACACTGGGCGAGGCTGCATGTGTGCCCATACCCCAGTATAGGGTACAGAGAAAGGATAACTGCGGTTCACAGGCCGCTAGCCAACTCCAAGTGCAGTGCAAGACCCAGGCTCAAGGGACTATAGTGGAAAGTAATAGAGCAGGGATATTTAACATCATCCTGCTGGCTTCTACACACACACACACACACACACACACACACATGCACCCACCACATATGCACGCACGCACACTCATACACATACACACATACATGCACACACACTCGCATGCATGCATACACATATACTCACACACACACACACACACAAACACGCACACACACTTTGAGAGCCCAGATCTGATCTCTTAGATCCCCGAGTAGTCCACAGATGAAATAGCTTCATTTAAAGGCTAGAGAGTAAAGCGTTTTCCTTTAGATTGTATGTCTGGATCAGGAAGACCTGAAGCACTGTGATTAGGTTCAAGCTATTGCTCCCCTGGAGCAAGTGTCAATGACAGTAGGTACTCCTTGGAGAGGCACTCTGGCTGTATGCCAAGCAAATCACTATCCTAAAATTTCTAATGTCTTTGCTCCCTCCCAATGTCCACCTGACTCTCAAAGGTGAAAAAAGGCTACGACCCTCTCAACTGTGTGTACGGGACTTACCAGAGCCCTTACATACCCCTCCAACTCTGAACAGAGCTGGGACAGACCAAAGCAGAAGCATGGGCTGCAGCCTAGGGGGCTGACAGTTTGCAAGGCAAAGGTGCCAGCTTGGCACTCACTGCACTGGAGTCCCAGGACATTCTCCTAAAGGTGAAAGAAAAAAGAAAAAAGAAATTAACATCTGAAAAAGAAGAGATGTGATTTTATATATACATGGATACAAAGGAATAAAAACAACACTGACTTTCATGACTTACAAGCATTGCTCAACTCAATCTTCTAGGCCACATCCCTAACTGAAGCTTGTGACCATTAGTTCTCTCAGACACCAGAGCTCCCCAACTATTACTGAGGATCAAAACTGCGGTGCAAGGAGCTGGAAAGAACGTATTCCCTAATGTGATTCTCCAGTGGTCCCCAGCTGACCCTGAGGGCCTCCAGGTGCAGTGTCGGGCTACGTGAAGACAGCCCAGGTCCTTGCCATTCTGACTGACTGGAGCAAGGACGGTTGCTAGCAGATGTGGGAAGATTCTCAGAAAGGGTGCCCCAAGTGACTCCTTTCTTCATCACTTCTAGCTGCACACCAACCCACCACAATCAGGCTGATACCTCATCCTGCTTGCAGAGACGACCAGAGAAGGTGGCAATGATCTGGCAGCAAAGCATGTTGGGAAAGCCAACAAACACAAGAAGCAAAAAGAACTGACTACTGACCTACAAAAGCAAATGCCATTAGGGAATGAACACTATTAGGGAGTACATATGACCCAGGACTAATGTGCTGTCTCAGGGACAGTTCTAACACGTACACCATGTGGGGAACCATTTTCAAGAGAAGAAAAATGACCTTGGTGCTGTCTGCTCATCCTAGTATATTAAAGTCTGTTTTCCTCAACTATCAGTCCTGGAACAGAAAGGAGACAAATCAGCATTCTTCAAAAGCGGAGGCCACTTGTCATCTGTGCCACTGCTCCTATGTGCACATGAGCCTTCTTCTAGACCATCATTGCTACAGGATAATAGTGTTTACCACAGCCAGTTCTCCACACTGTGGAGAGTCTCTGGTGTCTGAATCAGAACGGCCCCTGCACGCGCACACATTAGAATCTTCAGTCAGCACAAGTGGAACTCTTTGCTAGGATTAGAAGGATGAGGAGGTGTGGCCTTGTTGGAGAAAGTATGCACTTGGCATCTCAAAAAGCCCAGATAGGGCCCAGTGTCTCTCATGTCTGTTTCTCTTTCTGCCTGTGGCCCAGGATGCAGCGCTCAGATACTGCTCCAGGCTCATGCTCCCCGCCCCATGATGACAATGGACTAAGTCCCCTGTTAAATGCTTTCCTTCGTAAGAGTTGTCTTGGTCACAGTGTCTCTTCACAGCAACAGAACAGTGACTAAGACAGACCCCTGAGTTTCTTTATATAGTGGAAATATTTTCATTTAGGAAGTTTCAGATAAATCCTTTTAGTCAGAGGATGTATTTTCTGTGTCACATAAACACAGGACTAGATGTTCTTTTCTAAAAACTGATATTCTTCAGAGTTACTAAATTAATGTAGTAAAACAAAAAACCTCTTAAACCTTCTTAAAGCTACCAGCTCTCAAGCTGGAGAGATGGCTCAGCAGTCAAGGGTATTGGCTGCTCTTCCAGAGAACCCAGGTTAAGTTCCAGCAAGCTAACTAACAACTGTCTATAACTCCAGTCCCAGATCTGACACCTTCTACTGGACATTCACATGGTACACAGACAGACACACAGAAAAAACACCCAGACATATATAAAATCCTAAACACAGGTAAAACCCTACTGGGTTTGTTAATAGTGCAGTGTGTACTGCACTATTGTACAGAGACAAATTGTGGAGTTGATAAAACCTGCTCACGCTTCATGGTTAGCTGTAGACTTTTCCTCCTTTTACCCACATTTCCTCTATTTTAGTTTTGTCTTCTTTTTCTTAAAGTTTTATTTTATTTTTAGCTGGTTATGATGGTACACAGCTTTAATCTCAGCACTGAGGAGGGAGAAGCAGGTGGATCTCTGAGTTTAAAGCCAACCTGGTCCACACAGTTATTGTTAGGCCAGCCAGGCAAACATTACAGAACCCTGTCTAAAAATAAGAAAAAATAAAAACAAACTGACCCAAGAACCAACCAAAAAGATTTATTTTATCTTTAATAATGGATTTCTGGGATACAGATGTGTGTGAGCACAAGAGCCAGCAAACCCTCCTGAGGCTGGAGTTCAGGTAGCTACGACATGGATGCTGGAAACCAAACTCTGGTCCTTCACCATAGCGTGTGCTCTCAATGGCTGCGACATCTCTGGGCACCCTCCCGTACCCTTTAAAGGTCCACATAAATTTTAATTCTTTATAAAACTTTACCTTTTTGGACCAAAGTAATCTTTCTTTTCTTTTTCTAACTTAACTGCATCATCATTTGGAGACTTGATAATGACAGGTCAATGATACTTCAGTGCTTATACATTATGAGTTCAAATATAGTTTCTCAGAGTAGAAACTACTGATTTTCTTTCCCATTGATTTTTACTATCATTGGTCAGGATATTAATACTTATAACCTTAGCACCTGGGAGGCAGAGGCAGGACTGGGTTACAGGAAACCCTGTCTCAAAACATTAACCCCTTCACCAAAAATGCCCCAACATTCTGTGATGCAGCTAGTACCGAGGAACAGAGAAGTGAATGACGCTTTACCTGCGGGGTTCTGGAGCTGCTTCATCAGTTCGTCAAGCTTAACCTGGGCATCGGGCAAGTCCATCTTATTAACTGCCAAGAGTGCAGGTTTTGTCTGCAGTTCCTCTTTGTATGACTCCAACTCCTTTAAATAAAAAGAGAAACCAAGTAATTTTATATCAGTATGTATATAAATGAATACTACAGCGATATTTCTTTAATGACCTGGATAATCTGGGGCTTATTCGCATCACCACAGGGCAATAAATCCCAGCAGCTATAAAACCAACAAAGGAAATTCAGAAAATGCTTTTTACTAAACCATGTGAATAAGATGTTAGCTCACACGACTTCTCAGAAGCAGCTGATTTTGTGTCTAGAGCCAAATGAAAGTAACTAGACTCAACAGAGAAAAGACTCATAGGCCAAAAATAACAATTCAGTATTGTTGCATTCTCAGAAAAGGCATATGTACTTAGTAAATATCAAAAGCTGTGGGGGTCGCTAAAGAATTAAACCAAAACAGATTGGGTTGTTTTGCTTCTGACTGTGAGTGGTTAACATGTCACTCACTCACAGATGCCTAGTAAGTACCCAGTCTAAAGCAGGAGCAAAGATCTGGTTATCGGTTACAGATTTGGCAGTCAAGGCTACATTCATTGTAGGCAATGGGAAATAATGGCAGTGGGTAAGATCACAAATAACTCTCAGTAACCTTGCTTAAATGGTAAGACAAGTGCTGGGATTTCAGCTTAATGGTGGAATGCTTGTGCAATGTTCATGGCTTGACCATCAGTACCTCCACAAAAGGAGAAAAGAGTGAGCAGAGTATTTTAAGTGGGGAATGCTTCAAGAAGACAGACGCCAGGGCAGAAACAAGGTCAGCTGAGAAGGGACATGGGGCATGAGAGGGCAGTACCCACATAATAATGAGAAACGGGGAATACTAAAGAACTGGAAATAGCAACTTTGATTCTTTAACTGGATAAAATCTTTAAAAAGGTGATTATTCTGATTACTGTGTGACTCACATAAAAGGAGAACTAGCTCCAGAACACAGAAAAAAACCCACAAACACCTTACTTCTGTAAAAGGTATTATTGTTTCAAAGGGACTTCTGTATGGAGTTACAGAAGAGAGCTGAAATCCCAAAATATCAACCTAAAAAAAGAGAAGAGAGAACCCAGTACATAAAACGGTTGCTCAGTTCTATGTTTAGCAATGTCTTCTCTCTGAATCATTTCTCAACGTACGTTTTACTGGCAACTTAGTCATGAAGTGCAAAAACAGAAATTGAGTTGTTATGATAGCTATAAGCATTACTATAAAATGAGTCATTGGTGAAAAACTAGTACAGATAATTGATATTATTATAAACAATCTCATCCATAACTTAAGCATCACCAATTAAGAATATAAGAGATACTATAGAAGAGCATGCCAAAATCTCCAGGAATCAAGTCTTGCTAAGTATGGCCAAACGTACACACACTACAGTAGCAACAGCATTTCCACCCCCACGCTATAAACAGTGATCTACTGACTTGTCCCCGTTGACACAGACTTACTGGAGTGATATTTATTAGTACAGTCATGTACCTAATATACCAGAGCTACATTCTGAAAACATGCCCAATGATCTTATCACGATCACACGTCTAAGATGGCTCTGATGCCACCAGGTTGTAAAAGCGTTTGACGCCTCTACAGGATGAACAACAGACCAGCAATGATGAAAGTGGGGTTTGTGTCACATTATCTTTAATTTTACTATAAAGTGTTTCCAGGGAAACCAAGCTAAGTCATGTGAACATCACTGAAATGTATGACTTACAACAAAGAGCAGTTGTCTGGTTCGCTCTAAATGCTTGAGGAACTTGTGGCCCATTCCTTTGTTCATATGTGCTCCTTCTATCAGACCTGGGAGGTCAGCTGCTGAAATCTAAAATAAAAGTAATGATTTGTTGAAAAAGAAAAATAGATGAGAACCAAGTTCGATTATTTCCAAATTTTCATATTTCATAGTTTCTAGTTAAGCACTCTACAGTACCTTTGAAATAAACATGTTAAAAGCTTTTATCAGACATCTGAATCCCATTTTTACTCATGAGTCTACCAATCTATAGATATTGGGGGATTAGCTTAATATTTATTACTATAATAGTTATTAATAAGGTAAGTTTGTAATTTTCACAAATAACTCAGTTAAATAATTAATTAACGTGTGCATATGTTTTGAAGTATCTTTTGGTTTCTTTCATTGAGCAATATGTATTAAAGATCTTCTTTATTCATGGCTTCATAATCTACTAATTTTTAGAACTGACTACTTCATTCTCCAGATGTAACAGTTTATCCATAACCATAGAGATTTTTGATTGCTCCAAGATCTAGTAATTATGAATAAAGTGGCCAGAAACACCCATGTGTAGGCTTCTCTGTGTGTAGAAAGAAACTCTACCCCAATGCAATGTTCCCTGTGAGCTCCTTGGAGACCAATTCTTGGAGGTCATACGAGGTGAGACAATAGTGACCCTGGGACCCCGGACTCCCCATTCCCTAAAACCTCCATGTGGGAGAAAGACCATGACCCCCTCCCCAGGCCCTGGAGCTGGTCTGCTAGACAGCCATCTACCCCACCCCCAACACATCCTTCCCTGCCAGCTCCGTGGAGACCAATACTTTGTGGACATCAGAGGTGAGACAACAGTGGCCCTGGGACCCTGCACCCCCCACTCCCTAAAATCTCCACGTGGGAGAAAGGCCAGGGACCCCCTCCCCAGATGCCTTTGGCATTCCTAGCAGCCAGCAGGAGCTTGTGTGCTACACAGCCATCTATCCCGCCTCCAACGGGTCTTTCCCTGTGAGCTCCATGGAAACCAATTCTTGTAGACATAAGAGTTGATGGGAAGGCGCCAATGCAAGAACTCCTCCAACGTCCTAAAAAGCAACATGGTACCAGCAGAACCCAGCAGACACACAACAGGAAGACTTGATCATCCTAACCCAGAAGATATAGAAGAAAACGACTTTAAAAACGGTACTTAATGAAAACAATGGAGACCTTTAAAGAGGAAGTGCAAAACTCCCTTAGAGAAATGGAGGAGAGGACAAACAAAAAGCTGGAAGATATTAATAAATCCCTCAAAGAAACACAAGAAAACCAAGAAAAAGCAATCAAACAGGTGAAGGAAACAGTTTAAGATGTGAAGATTGAAATAGAGGTAATAAAGAAAATACAAACCGAGCAAACTCTTGAAATGGAAAATCTGGGTAAAGGAACAGGAACTACAGAGACAAGTATAACCAACAGAATACAAGAGTCAGAAGAAAGAATCTCAGGCCCTGAAAATTCTATTGAGGAAATAGACTCATTGGTCAAACAAATTCTTAAAACATTCAGGAAATCTGGGACATGAAAAGACCAAACCTGAGAATAATAGGAGTAGAAGAAGGAGAAGAATTCCAGCTCAAAGGCACAGAAAATATATTCAACAAAATTATATAGAAGAAAACTTTCCCACCTAAAGAAGGATAAACCTATGAAGGTACAAGAAGCTTACAGAATACCAAATAGACAGGATCAAAAAAAATCCCATCCCCATATAATAATCAAAACACAAAACATATAGAACACAAAAATATTAAGAGCTGCAAAAGAAAAAGGTCAAGTAACATATGAAGGAAAACCTATCAGAATTTCACCTGACTTCTCAATGGAAACCATGAAAGCCAGAAGGTCCTGGATAGATGTGCTGCAGACACTAAGAGACCATGGATGCAAGCCCAGACTACTGTACCCAGCAAAGCTTCCACTCACCATCGATGGAGAAAGCAAGATATTCCAGGACAAAAACAGATTTAAACAACATGTTATCCACAAACCCAGCTTTACAGAAAGTACTAGAAGAAAAGCCACATCCCAAGGAAGCTAGCTACACCCACAATTATACAGGCATCTGATAACCCCCCTGCCAGCATAACCCAAAGAAGGGAAACACATAGACACTACTACTGAAAGATAACCAGAGCTTAACATCAGTGGTCTCAATTCACCTATAAGAAGACAAAGGCTGGGGGCTGAAGAGATGGCTCAGTGGTTAAGAGCACTGGCTGCTCTTCCAGAGGTCCTGAGTTCAATTCCCAGCAACCACATGGTGGCTCACAACCATCTGTAATGAGATCTGGCGCCCTCCTCTGGCGTGCGGGCATACATGGAGGCAGAATGTTGTATACATAATAAATAAATTAATCTTTAAATAAAAGACAAAGGCAAAGAGGAATGGATACGTAAACAGGATCCAACATTCTGCTGTTTACAAGAAACACCTCAACCTCAAAGGCAGACACTACCTCAGAGTAAAGGTTTGGGAAAAGGTTTTCCAATCAAATGGATCTAAAAAAACAAGCAGGTGTGGCTATTCTAATATCTAACAAAATTGATTTCAAACTAAAATCAATCAGAAGAGATGGAAAAGGACATTTTATACTCACAACAGGAACAATTCATCAAGATGAAGTCTCAGTCCTGAATATCTATGCCCCTAATACAAGAGCACCCACATATGTAAAAGTAACATTTCTGAAACTTGAATCGCACATCAAACCCCACACACACTAATAATAGGAGATTTCAACACTCCTCTCTCGCCAATGGACAGGTCAAACAGACAGAAACTTAACAGAGAAATAAGAGAACTAACAGATGTAATGAATTAAATGGACTTAACAGACATCTATTGAACATTCCACCTAAACAAAAATGAATATACCTTTTTCTCAGCATCTCATGGAACCTTCTCTAAAACTGATCACATTCTCAGTGACAAACACCCACAAATACAAAAAAAAAAATAATTGGAGTAATCCACTGTGTCTTATCAGATAACCATGGAGTAAAGTTAGAATTCAACAACAACTACTCCCAGAAAGCCTACACACTCATGGAAACTGAACAGTCAACTACTGGAACCACTCCTGGGTCAAGAAAGAAATAAAGAAAGAAATTAACAGCTTCCTTGAATTCAATGAAAATTAAGACACAACATACCCAAACCTATGGGACACAATGAAAGCAGTGCTAAGAGGAAAGTTCATAACACTAAGTGCCCACATAAACAGAGAAAGCTCACATCAATGGCCTAACAGCATTCCTGAAAGCTCTAGAAAAAAAAGCAGCAGACTTACCCAAAAGGAGAAGACAGGAAATAATCAAGTTGAGGTCTGAAATGAACAAAATAGAAACACAGAAAACCATACAAAGAATCAATTAAACAAAGAGCTGGTTCTTTGAAAAAATCAACAAGATTGACAAACCCTTATCCAAACTAATTAAAAGGCAAAGAGAGAATATCCAAATTAACAAAATTAGAAATAAAAAGGGGGTTATAACAACAGACATGGAAGAAATTCAGAGAATCATTTGGTCCTACTACAAAAATCTATACTCCACAAAACTGGAAAATGTTAAAGAAATGGACAACGTTTTAGATAGATACCACCTACCAAAATTTAATCAAGACCAGGTGAGCAATTTAAATATACCTATAAGCTGCAAGGAGATAGCAGCTTCCATCAAAAATCTCCCAACCAAAAAAAAAAAAAAAAAAAAAGGCCCAGGGCCGGATGGTTTTGGTGCTGAATTCTACCAGAACTTTCGAGAGCTAATACCTATACTCCTCAAAGTGTTCCACATAATAGAAACAGAAGGCTTACTGCCAAACTCTTTTTAAAAAGCTACAGTTACTCTAATACCAAAAACGCACAAAGACTCATACCAAGAAAGAGAATTACAGACCAATCTCACTATGAACATGGATGCAAAAATTCTCAATAAAATTCTGGCAAACTGAATCCAAGAACACATCAAAAAAAAATCATCCATCATGAACAAGTAGGCTTCATCCTAGAGATGCAGGGCTGGTTCAATATATGAAAATCAATCAATGTAATCCATCATATAAATAAACTAAAAGAAAAAACATATGATCATTTTATTGGATGCAGAAAAAGCATTTGACAAAATACAACACCCCTTCATGATAAAGGTCTTGGAGAGATTAGGGATACAAGGATCATATATAAATACAATAAAAGCAATATACAGCAAGCCGACAGCTACCATCAAATTAAATGGAGAGAAACTCAAAGCGATTCCACTAAAATCAGGAACAAGACAAGGCTGTCCACTGTTTCCATATCTCTCCAACATAGTTCTTTCAATTTTAGCAATAGCAATAAGACAACATAAGGAGATGAAGGGGATCAAACTGGAAAGAAGTTAAACTTTTGTTATTTTCAGATGATATGATAGTGTATATAAGTGACCCCAAAAACTCTACCAGAGAACTCCGACAGCTGATAAATACCTTCAGTGAAGTGGCAGGATACAAGATAAAATAAAAAATAATAATAATAATAAAATAAAAATAAATAAAAAAAATCAGTAGCCCTCCTATACACAAAGGATAAAAAAGCTGAAAGGGAAATCAGAGAAACATCACCTTTCACAATAGCCACAAATCACATAAAATATCTCGGGGGTAACACTAACAAAGGATGTGAAAGACCTATTTGACAAGAACATTATGTCTTTGAAGAAAGAAATTGAGGAAGATATCAGAAAATGGAAAGATCTCCCATGCTCTTGGATAAGAAGGACCAACACAGTAAAATATGACAATCTTACCAAAGGCAATCTATAGATTCAATGCAATCCCCATCAAAATCCCAACACAATTCTTCACAGAACCTTGAAAGAACAATACTCAACTTCATATGAAAAAACAAGATAGACTCTTAACTCTTCTTGGAAAAAAAAAAAAAAGAAACCCAGGATAGTGAAAACAATCCTGCACAACAAAGGAACTGCTGGAGGCATCGCCATCCCTGACATCAAGCTCTATTACAGAGCTACAGCAATGAAAACAGCTTGGTATTGAC